TGGGATGGGGTAAGCGCATCCGGGCTGCGCTTTGGGTGTGGGTCTCCAGGAGGGCTGCGGTCGTGGTCGCCGGCCTGTCGTCACTCGGTGGAACTCATTGAACTGCTGGTTGATGCAGCCCAAAGAGGACTGCAGCGTTTGTCTTCCCCCTTTTGCCTTCACAGCACTTGATGGGAAAGAAAGTTTTTTTTCTCTTTTCTGTTTGTGGATTTCTTAATGTTCTAGAAACACTGAGAAGTTTTATAAGGAAGTATGCATAGGTGATAGAGTTATTGAAGCACAAGTAGCTATAACTATCTCTACAGAGGTTGTACACACTAGCTTGGGTCAGTGGAAGCAAAGAGCAGAAACTAGAAAGCACTCAGGATGTAGTATAGCAGGCATTTAAAATTTTACACTTATGAGAGCATTTATCAAGGAATAAGCACTTAACTGTATATTTCAGTATTACATGCAGTTTTTTTAAAACTGAAAGTCACTTGTTTAGTCACAGAGATCAAAGGTTTTCTCTTTCATTCTTTGATATATTCTTTTCATGTTAGTGTTACATATACCATCATATTTTTTTGGTTGTTCTTTATAAGGATGCTTGTAAGATTTATTGAAATCACTTGATTAAGGGCCAGCAAGATAGCTCCGCGGACCAAGTGCCTGTGTAGGCGAGTGCAGGGACTGGGCTTTGATCCCCAGCACCACCTTCCGTGCTGGCTGCGCCCCCAGGCCCTCTGAGCCTGCAACCAGGTCTGAGCATGGTGGTGCCCACCTGTAATCCCTACACTGGGCAGGCTGAAACAGAAGGAGTGCTAGAGTCTGAGCTGCATAGTGAGACTCTGTATCAAATACATAAATTTAAAAAATGAAAAAAAATTACCTGCTTATATTTTTTGCCTTGTATACATTGAATAATATCTAGGTTCTAAAGGAAAACTAATTCATTTGTTTAATGTTTAAAAACAGACCTTTATTTGCAGTTTTAGGTCTAGAAGAAGAGGGTTTTTTTTTTTTTTTTTTTTTTTAGGGTGTACAGGGTGTTTAGGGTCTCACTACTAGATTGGATTCATAGTGATCCGCCTGCTTACAGCCTCCCAAGAGCTGGGATTACAGGCGCATACCACCACACCTGGTCTTAATTGCCGTCTCAGCTTGCCCTGGGGGTGAGCCCGGCATGGCAGGCCTAGGGATTGAACACCCGGCCCCTGCACCTGCTTGCAGGCGCTTTAATCTGCTGAGCTATTTGGCCAAGGTCTAGAAGAAGATTGAGTGGATGTGTATGACTCGCACACCTGTGCCCTCAAGTTTCTTGTTACTAGCTTGCTGCAAAGTTGTAATAATGCATTTGTTATTATTGATGAGTGACTATCACTAACATTATTATTGACGTAAAATAAGTACATAGTTTACTTTGGGATTCAACCTTTGAATTTCCAGTTTATGACTTTGACGAATGTATAACCCATACCCACCAGTAGAATATTACATAGAATAGTTTCAGCCCTTAAAAGTCTCTCGTCTTCCATCTGTTAGCCCCTGCCATTCTCTTTCCTGAATTCCTGGAAATGATTGTTTAATAAATCTAGTAAAGGGCATCTCATTGTTTTAATTTGCATTTCCCTGATGGCATGTGATACTGCGTATCTTTTCGTATGCTTACTCGACATACGAGTTCCTTCTTCCATTAGCTCTGGGGATCTTCCTGTTTTAACTTGGCTGTTATCGTTTAGTTTTGAGTTGTTTATTTTGGATACTAGTATTTTATAAAGCAAGTGTTTTACAAATTGTTTCTCTTAGGGGCCAGGGAGATGGCTCAGTAGAATAAACACTTTCCTGGCAAGTGCAAGGACCTGAGTTCAATCCCCAGTTCCACTAAAAAAAAAGTTTATCTTAAGAAAATTCACTGCACTGGGTAGTATCAGTTTTTTCTCTTGTGGATTTTGATTTTGGTGTTGCAGTAAAGGAGTCATTTCAATACCCAGGATCACTTAGATTTTTTCCCTCTTGTTTTCTAGGAGTTGTGATCTTCCTTTTTTTTTTTTTTTTTTTTTTTTAACGCCGAAT